CTCAAAGCTTGATGCAAAAACGCATGATCGCACCGGCTCGCCTGGTGCGTTCCAGCCTGGGTTTTGCATAATTATTAGCATGATGTTAATGTGCATACATATCTTAAATATAAACTTGTACCATAAATGAATGCATATATAAATATATATTTAAAATTCGTGGATCATCTATCAGCTTCGTTTTCCACCTACACAGCTGGCAAATTTTTATAGTTACACTGACCAGTACTGGTTCGCCTGGTGTTCACCTCGTTGATGATCCCTCTCTGTCATTCGTCTGTAAGTTTTGCCATAAAACAAGGGAGTAAGCTTCAAAGCATAAAAAGTAACATTAAAATATTTGTAGCAAATTTGGTCAAAAGAAGTATAAAAACAGAAAAACATCAACACACATATCTCACTAATACGTGACATTGAACATGGGCGCATATAAATTTTCAAAGATGAGAGCCAACCGCCAAGTCGATGATGGGGGTGTAAGAGTGGACGCAAAAGGCTTAACTATTTCAAGATGGCCGTGTTGTCGTCAGCTGATTGATACTCATAAAATTTCAGCCTTCCCAACTTGCACAAAATAATTTTGCAGTGTGCATTCTTAATTGAGAAAATAGCAAAAGGTTATGCAAATTCCGCACTTGGTAACATAAGTTAGAAAGAAATAGTACTGTGTTTCACTTCTCGCAAGTTCAAGTAGGAGGCGTACTTGTGATCAGCTAGCAGGAAAAGTATGAATGTGTGGATATAACACTAGCTGCAGTACTGTTTAGCGTAGGTAGAGTTTGTTTTTTCCTGCAATCACATAAATTTTGACTGTATGACTACCATTAACTGCTGCACAGCTGCTGGTCAGCACGATTTTTCGGACTGTCCTGCATTCGGTTGCTGCTCTTAGAACATTTAGAGTACCATTTGTTGCAATTGCAATGGTTGTTTCATCAGCTACAATTGGCCATGGTGATGCTATATGCAAAATGTACGTCCATCCGCCGACCGCACTGAAATGCAAATAAAGTGACTGTTTTCAAAAAGCAGATGACTAGAAAGTGCACTGCGACAATCCTGAATAGCATCTGGGCAGTCAGGAATTGCCAAAGGTAAACTGCTGCCAGGATTACCAAGACTACTCGGATAATTGGCGTGGACAGAAATCAGCAGGATGTTTTTTGTATGCTCAGTACTATGCTCAGTACTCTTATTTCGCTGTCTTATAGTACGGTAGCGAGATAATAAAACTCAAAATTTACATAATTTTGCTATCCGTACCAGACTGTTATCACCGTTTATCTCTAAGAGATAAAAAAATTCGAGGAAGTAAAATTAATAATTTCATACCTATGCCAGTGTTCTGCACATTCGAGATCAACTTCTACCAGTTCTAGCCTTTCTGCTCTGTACTTCATATCACAAAGTGGACTTACCTGAAAGAAACTGCATTAATTGCAAGAGAAGAGCTTAGTTTGATTTAATTCGGCAAAAAACATCAGATTTCATGTTAATTTAATAAGTATTGATAGTTAAGTTTTAAATAAATATCTGCGTCTATGTGTGTACGTGTGTGCGTGTTTGTGCGTGTGTGTCTGCAGCTATACGTGCACTTGTTTACTCATGTGTGTGTGTATGTCCTTGCAGAGGATAACAAATAGAATTACGTAACTACGATCGGTTTGGCGTTCCTTGCATTATTAGCACATTTCTCAGCCTCAACATTGCATAAACCGAAACATTTAAGGCGTTGTCTAAGTTTCTTTACAGCATAAAGCCTAAACAACTTATAGAACTCGTCAGAAACAAACAGCTAACCTTTGCCGAGTTTCGCAAGTTTCGTACTGTGCCGCGGAGTTGTATCACGCAGTGTAAGGCAATGTAACCGGAAGCGCCTGTTACCAGTACTGCTGAAAAAACGACTTAGTAAGTAGGTCTAGAGCGGTGTGCGTTTATTTGGAACTGAAAGTTGCCTCTTGGAACTTTTTTCCTTAAATTTCCTAAAGCGTTTGTGTTTATACTTTTTCGAGGGCCAAATTTATCATTAAGTCATCTTTAACCGATGTAAAAAGCAAGACGAGAAATCAGCTCCTAGCGGATGAGGCGCCTCATTTTGGTGCAGTAGTGATAACATTTAAGACAAGACGACAGTGCTTAGTACACACCCCGGTACACCCCGAAATGGCTAAAGCCTGTCAGGTGTTTCTGCTAGGAGAATGGTTGAGCCAGTAATCCCTACAAAACAGATGACGGAGTCACTGGCAAGATGATCAGCAGTAAGTGCAGCATTTGTCAAAGCGATGGAAAAATTACCAGCTCCCGATGCAGAGAAAGAATTACAACAGATCCGAGTGTTGAGACGATCAGGAGAACATTATTTATTATCTTTTACAACTAACTGAAACTAAGAAATGACTGAATGATTCTTCTAGTTTCACGTAATGAGCAGCACTAGTCAAAGATTGTTTTGAGCTTCTCTTTCAACTATCTCGCACCAGCTTTCTGGATTAGAGGAAACGGTACAACATTTTACCTGTTATGCGTTTTTGCATATATGTAAATAGCAAAAACGCATACTGGGAAGAGGCTGTCTGTGTGTGTGTGTGTGTGTG